ATACACATAACATAAAGCAATTTTTTTCCACAGTGCTTTTAATATGGAGACAGATTTTTATCTAATAGAGCCAACAGAATGTAACAAGAGTGCACCAGCAGCCCAGAGCTGTAAACACAGCTTCCTGATGACATATCCCTAGGGGGACAGATCATACAGTTTCTATATTATTCAGCCTGTCATTCTACTGGCACATAACTGATTTTTGCTTCAGAAAAATGTTTCTTTTCTGAAACTCCAGCTGTCCTTCATTCATAAAGCAGTGTTTTAATAAGGTGGTTGTTTAGGATGAAACAATGATACCACTAATAATGAATCACTAACAATACAGCACACTTCTTATCATGGATGGTCTACTGTATGCCAAACAGCTGGAGGAAACGTGGGGGAAAATGCAATCAAGCATTTAAATATCATAGCTGGATGTTTCCAAACATAAATATCCAGATGCTTATCTTTGTGGAGGTAATATGTTTGATTGCCTGCTTTTAAAAATATTTTATCTGGATCTTTTGATGTTCTGTAGATGGAGTCATGGACTATTCTTCATTTTCAGTATGCTGAATGATTTTTTGATCATGATGATTAGAAAAACAGTAATGTTGAAGACTAGCAGAGGCTAGGCCTGGCAGGATTTGTGTGAACTAAAGGAGAAGAGGAAGACATGAGACATGGACTGTGGTTAAATGGGTCCCTCTCCTGGCTAATGCATATGGAAGCAGGCACCTTTTAAAGACATCAGCTGAAGCCGATTCAGTTTTCAGTTAAGGGACATATAGCAATTATGTTGTTTGGTGGAAGAACCAGGTTCTCTTGTCTTCCCTGAGACCCAGAGGCTGAATAACCAGGAGCTTCCAGAAATATTAAGTTATAAGCAAGAAAGAAAAGTGTCCAATGTGCCATTGAAGACATTGGCTTAAAAGAAGTCTGTTCTTACCATGCTGAAGTACAGCTCTTCTCTTCCACAGACAGATGCCTCATTAGGCAAAATTAAAAATCTAGGAAAATAAAGTGCTTTCCCTTTTTAGGATCTCAGAGTACCGCACTCAAATGAACTCATGCTTCCCACTATATTTCTCCAATACCGGTTATTGGTACTTACAATTAGAGTCATTGCCAAATGCTTCACTAAATGAAAACCCCTGAAAATTAATTATCTCATCAAAAATGGCTCACTTTCAGAACCGGATTCATAAGTCCTGGCACCAAAATAAATGCCAACTCCCTCCTAAGAATGAAAGGAAAAATAATCATTTACTGACGTGTCCCTGCAGGGATCAATAACATTACAGATCATGGAGGAGACAAGAATAGCCTGGGCAAATTAATAACTCAGCCTCCTCACTGATTTGAGATGACTAGCTAAATAGCATTCTGCACTGATGAGGACTCTGTGGCATGAGGAACAATGTCATCATTAACATGTGAGAGTGTTTAGCATTTTGAACACTTCACACATAAAGAGAACTTAACACAGGACTATTTACTGGGCTTTAGACAGATGGTTTAATGTTTTTTTAGCCCTCAGCCTATCAGACCACCCGTGGTTTCCTTCAGCCAAGGGCTTTTAAAAAATAATTGGTCTATAGCAATTTTCTAACAAGACTGACTGCAATATATTTCTCTAAATCTTTTTCTTACCCTTAACTATCGCTTGCTGTGGTTTGTGGTTGACAGACTTCCCTGACACTGATTCCTTACATATAAGTAATTACTGACATAAAAGGAGATGAGGGGGCTGAAATATCATTAATGGTTCCTTCACTGCAGAAAAAGCTATTTAGAAATGATTGTTTTGAAAAACAGTTCTTCCCTGATTAGACATTGCCTGACACTCTAGAAGATGTTTCCCAAAAATCTTTCAATACAGGAAATGGCAACCCAACATAGATGGGTAATTGTCGGGGGCAGAGGATGCATTGCACTGAGCATATATGTGTTTATCTTAAAATGGTAAAGAAGGACAACTGTGCCTCTGTGTGGGAAATATGTGAGTGTGCTTAGAAAGAAATAAAGTGGCTGTGGATCCCTCCTCTTATTGTCAAAATGAGAGGCCAGTATAACGGAAAAGCAAGCAGGATGTGTTTTTATAGTGCAAACTTCTGCAGGGATCTTAATGATCACCTACACTGCTCTGGCCACTGGTCAGCTCTTCATGCCCTTCTTTGAGTCCTTTTCATGAAACAGCATGGCCCAGAGGACCAGAGACTGTGGACTGGCCCAAACCGTTGCTTATTTGCATATTCTTCTGTATGTAGCTTCCCTGGTAGGGTTCTGAAGAGGCATGCTTAGGCTTGGGGCAGAGAAAGCCAGTATACAGCAGAGAGGGCTTAGTGATGAGATGTTCTAAGGGAAAAGTGTCCTGTGACTGAGCACATGGGAGGGCTTGAGAGGCCTGAAAGTCTTAGTGCAGAGCCCGCGATTGGCATTTCTCTTTGAGAAATAAATGTGTCTCGCTGGAGTCTCAGATTTCCTGCTGACACTTCACGCAGGGTTGGATTGGAGTCCTTGCTGATTCTGTGGCTGCTGCTAGTGTCAGGATTTTGCACCAATACTGTCAATTTCCTCACCTGTGAGGGAGACGCACCGGCACCAGCATCGGTGTTTCGTCTGATCACGTCCAGTTTAATTCCCAGCGCAAGGTGCCAAGTCAGTTTAACCTGATGAAGCAATTTAACAGCTCTCTGCTTTGGGTGCTCGAAGACGACGGGCAGCTGACCGTTGGGGACGCAGCCTGGACCGCGAGCGGCTGTGCGGTCAGGCCCCGCAGTGCGTGCTGGCCATCGACTAGGTCACCTTCTCACGGGAGCAGTTCCGGCTGTTGCACGTGGAAGTGGAGGTGAGGGACGTCAATGACCACGCGCCGCTCTTCTCCTGGGCCCAGATCCCGGTGGAGGTGTCCGAGGGTGCGGCCCTGGGCACGCGCATCCCCCTGGGGGTGCTGGTGGACGAGGACGTGGGCGCCAACGGGCTGCAGAGCGTGCGCCTGGCCGAGCCGCACAGCCTCTTGTGAGTGGAACTGCAGACGCGCCTCACTCTTCGCTGCTGCCGCCGTCGCCGCGCTCGGGGGAGCGGACGCAGCTCGTCGGCGGGAGCTGGGACGCCAGAGGCTGGGGCCGCTTCGCTGGTCCTGGAGTGGGCGGCGCGCGAGAGCCTGGTGGCTCTGGTCAGCACCTCGGACAGGGACTCGGGCACCCACGGGCAGGTGCGCTGCGCCCTCTACCGGCACAAGCACTTCAGGCTGCAGCCGGCCTACGCGGGCAGCTACCTGGTGGTGACCGCGGCGTCGCAGGACCGCGAGCGCATCCCGGAGTACAACCTGACGCTGGTGACCGAGGACACGGTGCGCGTGTGGGCGACGAGAACGACAACCTGTCCCTGTTGACGTGGCGGGTCTACGAGGTGTAGGAGCGCGAGAACGACCTGCCGGCTTCTACCTGGCCACGGTGGCCACCCGGGACTCGGACCTGGGCCGCAATAGCCAGGTCACCTACAGGCTGCTGGAGGCCACGGTGGGCCGCGTCGGGGGCGCAGTGTCCACTTATGCCTATTCGACCCAACTATTGGGGGGCTGCGTGCTCGACTGCGCTTTGACTGCAGGAGCTGGCGGAGATGCAGGGGCGTCTGGAGGCGCTCGACCGCAGCTCTCAGCCGCGCTCGGGCCTGGCCATAGTACGCTGCAGGTGGAGGACCAGAACGACCACGTGCCCTGCCTGGTGGCCCCGCTGCTCCTCAGTGGCTCAGCCCAGCTGCCTCTGCCTCGGGATCCGCCACTGGGTTACCTGCTGAACCGTCTGCAAGCAAAAGACGCGGACGAGGGTGACAATGCTGAGCTGACTTACATCGTCCTCGGCAGCGACGGTGGCCCCGGGATGCTGGCGCTGCACTCGGCTCTGCAGCACCGCCTACCCCGTAGCCCGCCCGCCAGCTGACTGCAGTCATCGAGGTGAGGGACGGAGGCCGGCCCACTCTGTCGTGCAGGGCCACATTGTTTCTCGTGCCCGCGTGCCCGGCGCCACCTGGCGCAGAAGTGGTGCTGATGCCGCCTATGCTGCCGCACGGGGGAGGGGAGCCGTACATCAGGCAGGGAATGGGAGGGCAGCTTGAACCCCACCTGTTCTGGGTCAGTGTTTTGGCCAGCGGCTGCGTCCTTTTCCTAGTGGCGATCGTCACTGTGACTTGTCCCTGCCAAGGAACGTGAAGAAGCTCCGTGGGCACTGCCCAAGCAGATTTCAGGCAACGAGTGACCACTTTGGTCCACTTGTCAGAGCTATAGGGGCTGACTCTGGGGGCTTCCGCTCTAGGTTCTTTGTGGGCACACGGCCAGTTTCCATTTCCATAGGGGCCCAGGGGGTCGAGTCTGTGGAGAATTCCCAGGCTGAGGTTAGTGAGGTGTCTTGGAACTCCTCTTGTCGGGAGGGGAGCAGGATTGCATGGGCCCAGGTATGGCACCCCTGGCATTTTTAATGTTCTCATTCACCTGGAGTAGATTTTCATGCTAGGAGCCTTATGAAAATTCAGGGCCTGATTTGGGACTTCAAATGGCTGATATTTCTTCGTTTGTTCGTCGGTTTATTTGAAAGGAAAAATTATCCACAGACAAGGTTAGAGGGAGGCTTGAGAGTCACATGCTCATTCATGAAGGCCCATGTCTGTTTCTGCTGTTTTTGCCTATGGTAACTTCCTTTAGGTACAATTTGGATACAGTCGTCCCTCAGGGTTAATGCTGTGTTTCTAAAGCACTCCAGATGAGGAATGCAGCCCCTGCTCTGTCAAATTTGATATCTGACAATGAAATGTTATTAACTGCCGCTCTCACCCCCTTTTAAAAATAGGGTTTAATCTCAGTTCCTTTTCATTCCTCATCCCCTTATGGAGAAAATAAATCTGTGGCAAGTTTAAGGTAATTTCAGAATATTTATTGTTATCTCTAAGCAATATGTTTGATGTTTTACACATTTTTATGGATAGCAAAGTAATTGTTTCATTTTCACTTTCAGTATACGTTCAAATCTAGATGAATTCAGTGTGAAGGACAGTGGAAAAGGAGACGGTGAATTGAATGACAGCCATTTGGATATCAGCAGAGAGAGCTTCAAGAAAACATTCTATCAAATGATTGTAAAATAAGGGGTAAGTTCAAACCTGTGACTTTGAAGCTCTTCTTCTCAAAGCATCATAAGACCCATTCCTGACTCAACTGCAATACCAAATAAGTGGCCCCAACTATGTATTCATAGAGGGAGTGTCTCGGTCATTTCAGGTTTCTTTAACAAGATACCATAGACTGGGTGGCTTAAGCAACAAACATCTATTTCTCATAATAGATAATGAATTTTATATAGACTAGGATTTCATTTGCTGGGAACATATGAGTACTGTATGTGATTTGGTTTGGCTTTGCATTGTTTATAGAATGCTGCACCAATGCAACCTCTATCCAGTCCATCTGCTGTGTCATTTGGGGGTTATGCTTCAGGCCCAATTCCCTGTGATGGTGTCTGATTCTGGAGTGGTAGCTCCTGTGGTGATTTTCAGTTATGAGGTGTTTTGTGTTCATCTCCATGAAAATGGGCACTAGATTTTTAGTCCCTCAAAGAAAATATCTTACTCAAAGGGGAGTCCTAATGGCATGTCCTACTGACTCAAATGCCTCTTCACCATAACAGATGTTTTTGCACAATCTACGTTCAGTTCCTTTGACTTTTTTTTTTAAGGAGGGGCTTCTAGAAGCAACTGCCTCCTGGTTACCTTCCTCTGAATATTCTCTAGTGGTCAGTGTCTTTTCTAAAATGAGGAACATGGAGTTGTACACAATGATTCAGCACCAGCCTCTCGTCTGAGGTCCAAATTTGTATATACAATTGCTTACTCACCATCTCCATTTAGATTCTGAATGGACATGCTATACATTCAAAACTAAACTCTTGGTTCCCATTCTCCAAACCTCTTTTTCCTCTAGTGTCGCTATCTCAGTAAAAGTGACACACCTATTCAGCTAGTTGCTTGCTCTGGCTTAAATCCTTGGTGTTATTCTTGATTTGTTTCTTCCTACACACAACTTTCAATCCATCAGCAAATTCTGTTGAATTTTCTTTCAAAATATTTTTCCATCAATTCACTTCTTACCACCTTCATTACTACCACTCTACCCTACGCACTGTCATCACTTGCCTGACAATGGCAGTAGCCTCAAACCTGGCCCCTCTGCTTCTACTCTTGCCCTCTTGAAGACTATTCTGCATATGAGAACTGGACTGGTCTCTTACTTCATAAATCAGGTCACATTACTCATTCTCCAAACACTTGTCACTTAAATGAAATCCCAAATCCTTACCATGGTGTCTCAATTACTATTTTTTTTTTTTTGAGACAGAATTTCACTCTTGTTACCCAGGCTGGAGTGCAATGGCGCCATCTCGGCTCACCACAACCTCCGCCTCCTGGGTTCAGGCAATTCTCCTGCATCAGCCTCCTGAGTAGCTGGGATTACAGGCACGCGCCACCATGCCCAGCTGATTTTTTTTGTATTTTTAGTAGAGACGGGGTTTCACCATGTTGGCCAGGATGGTCTCGATCTCTTGACCTCGTGATCCACCCGCCTCGGCCTCCCAAACTGCTGGGATTACAGGCGTGAGCCACCGCACCCAGCTTCAATTACTATTGCTGCGTAACAAACCAGGCTAAAATGTAGCGGCATAAAATAACCATTTTATTATGCTCATGGATTCTGTGTCAATTTAGACAAGGTACAGCAGGGATGGGTTATCTTTGTTTCAAAGTATCTGGGGCCTTAGCTGGGATGATATAAAGGTTGGAGGCTGGAACCATCTGAAAGCTTCTTTAGTTACACACCAGGTATGTGGGCTGGGATAAGCCAAGGTCTAGGACAGCTGACTTGGTGGAGTAGGAAAAAGGGAGACTTCATATTCTCTTTACAGGTGGCTTGACTTCTCACAGCCTGGCAGCCTCTGCAAAGTCACATGACAGCTTGGGCTGCAAACATGAATGATTCATCTAACAGGACAGAAGTCACATCCTCTTTTATGACCCAGCTTCTGAAATGACGTGGTCATTTCCATCATCTTCTATGGTCCAGGCTGTCTTAAGCCCACCCATATTCAAGTGGAGGGGACAAAGACCCTATGCCTAGAAAAATTTCAAAGAGTTTTGAGGGCCATGTTTGTAAATCAGCCACACATGACTCTTAAGTCCGGCATTATCTGGCCCTTGGCTCTTCTACCTGATTTCTTATCCCTCTTTCCCGGGATGCTTTAGATCAACTTATTGGCCTTCTTATGTTCTTTGAATATACAAAGTATCTTTCCATCTCAGACCTCAGGGTCTTGCTGTTCCCTCACCTGGTAAGCTTTCTCTAGATAGCCATATTGCTTCCCACCTTCATTTAGGCATTTGTTCACATGTCTATCTAATCAAAGAGGTCTTCCAAACCTCAGATTGCCTCTCCTCCCTGTCACTCCCCATCTTCTTTACTCTGCTTTATTTTCCTTCATAGCATTTCTCACTCCCCAGCATTATTTATATATTTATTTGTTTATTATTTGTCCCTTGTTCCTTGTTGAATGGCCACCATCAGACATATACCAAAACAACAAAACAGAGGAAAATAAAAATCAGCAAATTTACTGAGTGGATAAATGAAAGGTGTGGTCTAATCAGCACATACATTGAAACTTGTTTGACTAGTTCTTATGATCATATTGCTCTTTAGATTAGGGTAAAATTGTATTGGTATTTTTTGGAAGTTCCATTGTGCTCCCCAACTTTCTGAAAAACTTTAGTGCCACCTTAAAACTTGAAGATTCTATAGTGAGTTTGTATCCAGATCATTTAGTGTTAAATTAGCCTTTTCAAAAGAATCAAAGTACCAAAACTCCTACTGCTTATGTTTTCTATTTAGGAAATTACCAGCTTATTCTTGTCTTGACTCAGTTTCTTCTTCCTAATATAGGCAAGCCCTCTGAATCCATGATAGCTCAAAGTGCTGCCGTGGCAAATGATAATATGATCAAGGCAATGCATTCAATCTGAGAGAATATTTTTTCTTAGTAATAACTGTCACAACATTTCTTCTTACCTGTATTCAACAAAAATCATTTATTTGTTTAATAACATTTACAGAGGACTCTTTATGTACCAGAAACTGTTCTAGGTACCTTATAAATATTGGAGTGATGGATTCATACACCAATGCTATTAGGCAGGTACTATCATTTGAACCCATTTCACATGTGGGAAACTGAGGCACGGAGCTGTTCGAGTAATTTGGTAGAGGCCACTCAGCTGTGAGGTGGGCAGAGCTTAGTGTCTAACCTTGGAAGTCTGGCTCCAGAGTTCGTGCTTTTAATGTTCTGCTGTAGCATATTTTTCTGCAGGTTTTTAAACACTTATTTTATGAGTCTTTTAAAGATTTAGGACCAGTTTATATTCCTGAGGATGTGTTTGAGTTTGAATGAGATACTCTGATTTATGGTTTGGTTTATCCTCTAACTCTCTACTGCATTTTCTTGTAAAACTTTTAGTGGGATTATTGAAAGGATGACATCTGGGTAATAGCAAGAGAATTGAATTAGACGCCAATAGTGAGGAGATAAGAAGTTTATTGAAAATATTTTAATTTTTTTGCATCTCACTCTTAACAGTTAACACAGAGAATGAATGAATGAGTAAATACACTACTATCCCTCAGAAGCTTCATTGTAATTTCACCCATTCTTCCCACCAAACCTGTATCAAAGAGTCCAGCAAATAATTTAATTGACTTGTTGAATTTTATTTCCACTTCATTTCCTCAGTACACCAGCAGGTGGAGGTGCAAGTCATTGATAGAAAAGCCAGAGGAAGGCAAAAAGAAGCAAACAGCTAGAAAGCCAGCCAGTCCCTGAACAACTGAATACTGTTTACATTTTAAAGTATATTTCTATGTAGCATTCAAAATTTTCTCCTTTTTTTGAATTTTAAACTAGTCTTTTTTTTTCCCCAAGTTTTATTTCAGATTACTCAGGATAAAAGATATTCAAGGATCCTGAAAAATTAAACCAGGAATTTCAAACCAGCAAACATTTTTCATCCCATCATGAAAGTAGGAACAGGACTGAACTTTCTTCAAGCACCCTTTACACTCACATTTCCCAGATGAAAAATACAAATTTCCAACCGGAACACTCAGAACTCAATTGATGTTATTTTCAAGTCTGTGCCTCCCAAGTGAAGGGCTGCCAAGTGTCTGTGACAGAGTTCAGAACTGCAGGCCAGCAGTGCCACTTCCGCCTTCTTGGACAGAATGATAAATTAAATCATCCTTCAGTGGACAGACCACCTTCACATACTTCAGAAATAGCCACTTCATTCTAAAATGCTGCAATTCATATAGATGGTCATTTCTGTCAAGTGTTTACAAGCCAGGTTACATGCATGAGCCTCTTAGTTTTGATATACATTTTCTTAAATCAGGTTGACAATCCATGACACAGCACAGGACGATTTTATAGAATCTAGGATATTTTACCAAAAAGTCTTAGAAGTGGTCTTTATTGCCATGAATATAATAAATGAGCATGTATTTTGTATTCGAGTACCTTTTATGAATATAAATAAAATATTCAGTCTAGCTACTCTTTTACATTTGAATGTTTATGTGATTCTACTGGAAATATAATTCAACTTCAGAATAACTTTAGGTTGAATTAAGAACCAGTACCCTGACCTTAATCATAAGGCCCAGTGGGGAGGAAGAGGAAGCTGTGAGCAGGCAGTATGGGAGTGGGGGGTGCTCAAATTGTCTCTCTAGCCTGACATCTGAGAGGGTTGTTGAGTATTTCATGGGTATAACAGTGGCAGATTTTGGCAATGGGTGAAAATCAAATGGCAGTGGCTGGCGATGTGTTTTTGGGCACTTATCCCATTCACAGCATCAGCTTAATAACAGGCTGGGGCTACAGGGAGCAGCGTGGTGAGAGAGAGAGAGATGGGGAGAGAGAGAGTGTGTCTTATGACCTCAGCCATCTGGGTGAGAGCTCCTAGCAGGACTCCTTCCTAGCTATGAACAAGATGCTAGGAGAAAACTGAGGCAGAAGAGCAAGGATAAAAGGAAGAGTTGGGCCCAAAATGCAGCGACTCAGAGGCTACTTGAGTAGCTGGGCTTCATCCGGGTCCAACCAGATCCAGGGCCAGCAAGGCTGGTTGATGAGATGGAAGCACCTGATTTGTGTCTTGTTTTCTGCAAGATTGGCTCAGGCTGTGGGAAGAATTGAGTTTGCAAAGTGCAGGATGTTTTGTGTCTCCAACTAGAAGAGCCTGGGGTCATTAAGATTTGATGGGCAGGAACTGTACTGCCCAATACAATAGCAACTAGCCATGTGTGGCTGTTTAAATAAATTACAACTCAATATAATGAAGAATGCTTCAGGCTCGGGCAGAGCCACTATAAAATGTTCCCATCACCCCAGAACATTCTTTTGGAACTAGAAGAAGGAGGAGGCCAGAGGTCCGTCTTCGCAGGCTGGGAGCTGAAGGTAGCCAATGACCCACTATCTTTGCTCAGTACATAAATGGGGAACTGTGTGGTTTTGTCTGTTTTCCACACTTCTAAGTGTGGAGAACTAACTAGTTCATGGCGGCCTTTTAATGGTTCATGTATTTTGAAATGGATTGACACATTATTCGTTATATAATCTTTGAAACACGTCTAAAGGCAAGAATTCTTAGCGGTAGAAGGTTTTCTGCAGGCTGGAGAATTTCTAAAGGCTCCTCTGCTATGCTAGCTAGCACCTTAAATTTATCGTCCTCATATTCAGCCCGATGACTTTAGAGATTTTGTAGCAATAGTCATGATAAAACCTACATACTTTTATTCCTAAACTCTCCCAGAATGATTCAGCAATTTTTAAAACCGGAAATTTATTCCTTAGCCATGCTCAGGCAAGAAGGAAGAACTTCAATCCTCTGGCCACTGGCCTCCCATGGAAAATTACTGCGGTTGGAAATTAGTTTCTGAGTCCCGTGTTATCTTCCAAGAGTCAGTGTGTCCTTTGAAATGTCAGCTTTCCAGATCAGGTGGTCTAGGCCCCAGAGAGACTGTGGCGAATGTGAATGTTCCTTACTTTATCTGATACATATCTTAAAAGTAAAATGGATACCTGTCTTTTGCGTTACATCTAATAATGTTTAAAAGTTTTAATTTTTTTATGTGAATGAATCCTGGGGGAAACACTTTTTAAAAGCCAAGAATCTAAAATTTTTCATCAAATTTATAAACATAGAATTTGATATTTTTACTTTTCTTAAAATGAGGCTTACATGTGTTTGTGATATTAGCTTCTACCTTAATTAGGATTCCTGAAGCAATTTATAACTCCTGAATCTTGTCTGTTTATGATTGCATTCTCAGGAATAATAATAGGCAATCTTTATCAAACAGTATGTTCAAGATTCTATGCTAAATGCTCTACATGAATTACTGTTTTTACACCTTGTAACAATCCTAGGAGGTAATTACATTACTACCTCAATTTTATAGATGAGGAAACAAGTTTAAAGGGAGAATATATTTGAGGTTACACAATAAGCAAATGAACTTAGAGTTTAAAAAATTATGGTATAGGCTGGGTGCAGGGGTTCATGCCTGTCATTCTATCACTTTGGGAGGCCAAGCAGGTGGATCTTTTGAGCCCAGGAATTCGAGATCAGCCTGGGCAACATGGTGAAACACCATTTCTACAAAAAAACAAAAAAAAAGTAGATGTGCACAGTGGTGCGTGCCTGTAGTCCCAGCTTTTCAGGAGGCTGATGTGGGAGAATCACTTGAGCCTGGGGAAGTTGAGGCTGCAGTTAACCATGATACCACTGTACTCCAGCCTGGGTGACAGAGGCAGACCCTGTCTCAGAAAAAAAAAATTATGGTATAATGCTAAAGTGCATGGATTTTGAGTTTAAAGCCAGATGAAATTTTATATGTACCCACTCTTGTAACCACCACCCAGGTCAAGGTTTGGAATATTTCCAGATCCCTAAATAGCTCCCACATATACCTTCCTGGGCAATACCTCTTCCAGAAGTAACTACTATTTAGAATATAAAAACTGATATAGCCATTATGGAAAACAGTATTGAGGTTCCTTAAAAAATTAAAAATAGAGCTGCCATACGATCCAGCAACCTCACTTCTGGGTATAAACCCAAAGGAAACAAAACTGAAACCACTGATTTGAAAAGGTATCCACACCCCTAATGTTCATTGTGACATTATATATAATAGCCAAGATATGGAATCAGCCTAAATGTCTATACATTGATAAGTAGATAAAGAAATTTTGATATATATAATGGAATATTATTCAGCCTTAAAGAAGAAAATCTTAACCATTTGCAACAATATGGATGAAAGCGGAAGACATTAAGCTAATGTCACAGTCACAGAAAGAAAAATATTGCATGATTTCACTTACGCGTGCAATCTAAAGTCAAATTCATAGAAGCAAAGAGTGGAATGGTCGTGTGCTAGGTGAGCGGGAGGGGAAACGGGGGATGTTGGTCAAAGGGTACAAAGTTTCAGTGAGGATGAATACATTCTAGAGACTAATGTTCAGCATAGTGACTATAGTTAATAATGCTGTATTTGATGCTTGAGATTTGCTAAGTGAATGTATCTTACATGTCCTCACCATACACAGAAAAGATATATGATTTTTAGCTTGAATATAGTAATCATTTTCCTATGTGTATGTATATAACATCTTAATATACAGCTTGAATATATAAAATTTCAATTAAAAATTTAAAAGAGGTAACTATTATTGAAACTTTTCTCACTATTATGTGTTCTCACCACACAGAAAAAATATCTGATTTTTAGCTTGAATGTAGTCATCAGCTTCCTATGTCCGTGTATATAACAACATCATAATATACAGCTTAAATACATAAAATTTCAATTAAAAAATGTAGAAGTGGTAACTTATTCAAACCTTTTTCACTATTTTTGCTGTACTTAAACTTCATATAAATGATACAATTTATGCTTTTGGGTCCGGTTCAAAATGATGTCTATGAACTTCATCCATGCTGTGTATACCGCAGTTTGTTCATTCTCACTGCTGTATTCATTGTATGCACTTACCACAATTTATCCATTCTATAGTTGATGGACATTAGGACAGTTTTCACTTCTTGACTTTTGTGAATAATGAATTTGTACATCTTTTTGGTGGGCATAAACACTCATTTCTGTTGGCTATATCCCCAGAAGTAGAATTGTTGTGTTAAAGAGTGACGTATCTAGGATTTGAACCTTGAATTTTTTTTTCTTTGAGGCTAGGTTTCACTTTGTTGCCCAGGCTGATTTTGAACTCCTAGGCACCAGCGGTCCCCCTGTCTCATCCTCCCTAGCAGCTGGGATTACAGGCGTGCACCCCTGCACCCAGCTTGAACCTTGAGTTTTCTGGCTCCACTATTATCTGTTGTGCAACAATCATTACGTCAGTAATAGCTAATAAAGACTGAGAGCCCTCTATGAGGTCTTTAAGCTCTTGTTTTCTAAGCAGGATATTGATTCAATAGAGAACTTTCTATAAGCTTAATAACAGCAGAGGGAAGTCTTATATTTGTTCAACAAATAAGAGTCTTTTACATTATCATTAAATAGCTGATGTATTACAATATACGTGGAACACTTAGTAGCTTCTCTTTGAAAAGCCCATGATAATACCCATCTTTGACAGACTTGTTTTACTCATTGAAATGTATACAGTAAGAGTAAGCAATTGATCATTCATTTACTTGTATACTGTAATTAGCCAAGGAAGAAACAAATCAGTTTAAAACCAATTTCCATAGTCTACACATGCACAGGAATTGATTGCAGACTTGAATTTGCTGAATAAAAGTGAAGCTGGCTAATCTCAATTTGTATTTCATCGAGTAAATGTCAGCTATTGATTTCTGTAGCTTACTACTGAGGCAATCTGTCTATCATTCTTTAAAGGCAGCACGGCACAATCACTATGCAGTTTAATTAGGTGTGGTCTATTCATTTCACTGTTTGAGGAAGATGAAATATTTAGCTGTAGTGGAAGGAAAAACCTCAGCCAGCTGCCTGTTCTATCACCCTCTTTCAGACTGGTACTCATCTTAATTTAATGCCCATTGATTCTTATTGTTAGATGTTGTACAGAGTAGCCCTTTTGTAATGTGCTGTTAGAAGATGAAGCTAAAATGGACTTTACAGGCTAACTGAACTCTCTCACGCTTTCTTGAACTCTTGACAACACAGCATTACATTCTGGGGGAATGACTTGACCTGTGTGTTATAGAATAGGTTTCCACAGTGTGCCTGGTTTCCTTAAAGGGTAATCCATGTTGCCATTGTCCTACAGGATTTGTATTTGACAAGTTGCAATGCCTTTTTTCCTGGCACAACACAGAAGGTGTAATGTTGAACTATATCTGAACACTATTTATGTAAAAAATGGCCTGAAATAACAATAACGTCTTCTTTCTCAAAAGAAATATCATAATCTCTTTATCTCTTTGTTTTTGGTTTCCTCACCTGTAAAGTGGAGATAATAGT